AGATCGTGCAGCCAAGACCAAGCATGACCGCTAAAACGACAATGTGCCTGAATGTCAGCCCCAGACATGCCACTAAAGACAGCAGCAAGTGCAGCAAGCCTACAAACGGCAAAAGCATGGGGAGAGACTGCAGTCCGGCTAGACAGAAAGACTCAGTGGACGACCAGAGACCCAAACCAGGATCAGGAAGGGAAACTGGATCAACCCAAAGCTCATCAAAAGTGGAAGTAGGGAAGATTCCCTTAATTATAGACCTGTATCATTGACAAATGTAATAGTCAAAATATTGGAAAAATAATTAAAACTAAATGGGTAGAACACCTGGAGAAAAAACGATATAATATCAGACAGACAGTATGGTTCTCGATCTGGAAGATCCTGTGTATCGAATTTACTCAGTTTCTATGATCGAGCCACAGAAATGTTACAGGAAAGAGATGGTTGGGTTGACTGCATCTAACTGGACCTAAAAAAAGGCTTTTGACAGAGTTCCACATAAGAGGTTGTTCAGGAAACTGGAACATATTGGAGGGGTGACAGGTAAGCTTCTAACATAGATGAAAAATTTCCTAACTAAACGAACGTACGTAGTGATATGATCACTACGTACAAAATAGTAACAGGAATCGATAAAATTGACAGGGAAGAATTCCTGAGACCCAGAACTTCAAGAACCAGAGATCATAGATTTAAACTAACGAAACAAAGCTGCCGGAGAAATATAAGAAAATTCACTTTTTTAAATAGAGTGGTAGACGATTGGAACAAGTTAGGTGAGAAGGTGGTGAAGGCCAAAATCGTCAGTAATTTCAAAGTGCTATATGACAAAGAGTGCTGGGAAGACGGGACACCACGAGTGTAGCTCTCATCCTGTAACTACACTTAGGTAATTACATCAATAAACTGGAAAAGGTGCAAAGACATGCTACTAAGTGGCTCCCAGAACTGAAGGGCAGGAGCTACGAGGAGAGGTTAGAGGCATTAAATATGCCAAAACTAGAAGACAGAAGAAAAAAAGAGGTGATATGATCACTACTTACAAAATAGTAACAGGAATTGATAAAATCGACAGGGAAGATTTCCTGAGACCTGGCACTTCAAGAACAAGAGGTCATAGATTTAAACTAGCTAAACACAGATGCCGAAGAAATATAAGAAAATTCACCTTCGCAAATAGAGTGGTAGACGGTTGGAACAAGTTAAGTGAGAAGGTGGTGGAGGCCAAGACCGTCAGTAGTTTCAAAGCGTTATATGACAAAGAGTGCTGGGAAGACGGGACACCATGAGCGTAGCTCTCATCCTGTAACTACACTTAGGTAATTACACTTAGGTAATTACACACAGTCAGAAGACATCGCCACCACCCTCCCTCCCACAGCATTACTCCTCACTCCATGGCGCACAGCGCTAAATATCACCACAATCCTGCTATTATCAGAACCCTGGTCAGTTTTATCACAGTCAGGGGTCTTCTGTAATAATATCATTGCTACATAATAGCATGAACAAGTATATTTTGGCATTTTTAGGCGATGCTGTGGTCACAAGCTGAACAGCAGTTCTGTGAGCTCATGCTGCGTGCGTCAGGCTTGGTTGCTCACTCAATACTAAGGCCAATAACACCCGGGAGTTTGGCCCACGATTTTTTTTTAAAATGGCGTCTGTTTACAAGAGCCCTGATGAAGGTGTGGTGAACCCCATGTATCCGCGGGCTGTTTAAATCTTGCGTAGTAGCCAACATGTCATATGACGTGATGCGCACTTTAAGGGTTAAGGCTATACCTATCATTTTTTACTATTTCTCTAAAAGTGAAAGTTGTAAGTCAATATGAAATAGAAAGGTAGTAAGTAAAGCAAAGGTGGAGAGTGCTGATAATGCAGTGTGGGATTGGTACAAACAGAGGCGTGAGGTGAAGAAGAAGCCAGTGGCAGGCTGGCTGCTCGTGGAAAAGGCACGTGAATTTCATCAAGCAATGAAAATTACTCAGAAGTGTGTATACAGTGATAGATGGCTCAGAAGCTTTAAATAACTAAATAACTATAATATACAGTATAGTAAATACTGTATAGTAAATAAGTATGTTTTAGTAAATAAATAAATAATAAATAAATGAATAGTAAATAACTATACTTCATCAACATTGATCACCAACATAAGCGGATCAGGACTTCACTTATTGGTGAGTACAAACAAAATACGGTCGCATTTACACTATGAACCTGTCAATTTGATCCCCTAGTTTTTTCATAAATTTTTCTACATTTTTTTTTAACATTTCTAATTTATTTTTTCCCTCCATTTCTCATTTACGAACTTACATGATAACCGACGGATCTCGTCCCCATAGGGTTCAGAAACCAAGTGGTACTCTGTATAAGTATCTGCATGTTTTGTTCACCATAATAAATCACTAAGTTGGTATTGTGAGTGAAAAAGCAATGAAGAGTGGCCACCACTCACCAGCCAGCCAGCCACTCGCCACCACTCCCTCCCTCACTTCCTCACTCACCAACATACTCCTCCCACCATACTGTTTTTGCTTTTATTCACTATACACAGACATTATATATATAAGTATCTACATGTTTTGTTCACCATAATTGAACACCTAAGCTTCTATGGCTAGTTCAGGCAATAAGAGACATAGCTACACACACAGTCAGTTGGTGGCTGCCGCCTTCACTGGTTCAAGGCCAGACACACTAATATTTCTCTTCCAACAATACTGTTTGTGATGTTATTACACTATATACACACATTATATATAAGTGCAGTGATACCTCGGTTTACAAACACCCCTATTTACGAATTTTTCGGGTTATGAGCCCGATTTCTTCGGAAAATCTGAATCGGGATACAAACTTTACCTCGGGATACAAGTTTGTTGATACGCGTACGGCCGACCTAGTGCATGGTGGCACAGCGATTGCGCCACAGTTTACCAGTGCCTCGCGCCCAGTGACTATCCCGCCTGAATTCTTCGCAAGGATATTCAGTTTCTTTTCAGATTTTTTGCTATTTGAGCATAATTTTTTTATTATATATCTCGCCATGAGTCCCAAGAAAGCCAGTGGTAAGGTTCAAGGCAAGAAATCACATGTGAGAATGACCATAGAGGAAAAACAAGAGATCATTCGTAAACATGAAAATGGTACACATGTTGTTGAACTAGTTAGGCAGTATAACATATCTTCAGGGATGGAGGAGGAGACAGTAGAGGATGTCCCTTCCTCATTAATTAAGAAAATGTGTGCAGTATGGGAAGAAATGCAAAGTTTTGCTGAAAAGAATCACCCAGATAAAGCTGTAGTAGGCCGTTGCATTAATCTTTTCAATGACAATGTGATGCCTCACTACAGACAAGTGTTGCAAAGAAGGAAAAAACAATCGGCAATGGAACGTTTCCTTGTGAGAAAATCAAACAGTATGCCACAACCAGGACCTAGTGGTATGCAGGCAAAACGTGCCAGAGTGCACTCTAGAGAAATCTTCACTGCCTGATGTTATAATGGAAGGGGACTCCCCTTCCAAACAGTCATCAGCAAGGGTAAGTAATAACTTGAACATACTTTTGTAGTGAAGATTTGGATGAATTAGGTATAAAAATTTACTTTGAAGTGAGGTTTTTGGGGAGTCAGGAACGGATTAATTCATTTCCCATTATTTCTTATGGGGAAATTCGCTTCGGTTTATGAATTTTCGGGTTACGAACGGTCTCCAGGAATGGATTAAATTCTTAAACCGAGGAACCCCTGTATCTACATATTTTATTCACCATACCTGTACAAATAAGCTGGTATGGTGCCCAAAGACCATAGTGGCCACCAGAACACAACTTGTCTGTCATGCAGACGACACACCTCCCTCACCAAAATGGCGGCTCCCAACATACTCCTATTGCTGTTATTACACTCTATACACACGTTATATATGTAAGTATCTACATTTGTGTTCACCATAGCGAACCTCTAAGCTGGTATGGTAAGTTCAGTCAATAAAAGGTGGCCACACATAGTAAGAAGACATCGCCACCTCCCTCCCTTCCTGAGCATTACTCTTCCCACCATGGAGCACAGCACTAAATATCACCACAATCCTGCTATTATCACAATCCTGGTCAGTTTTACCACCGTCAAGGGTCTTCTGTAATACTATCATCACTAAATAATAGCATGTACATATATATTTTGACATTTTTAGGCGATGCTGTGGTCACAAGCTGACCAGCTGTGAGCTCATGCTGTGTGCGCCAGCCTTGGTGGCTCACTCAGTACTAAGGCTCTCACACCCGGGAATGTTGCCCACGCTTTTTTTCTGATACCTGGTTGATACCTGGTTGATGGGGTTCTGGGAGTTCTTCTACTCCCCAAGCCCGGCCCGAGGCCAGGCTCGACTTGTGAGAGTTTGGTCCACCAGGCTGTTGCTTGGAGCGGCCCGCAGGCCCACATACCCCGGTTGGTCCGGCACTCCTTTGAGGAATAAATCTAGTTTCCTCTTGAAAATGTCCACGGTTGTTCCGGCAATATTTCTTATGCTTGCTGGGAGGACGTTGAACAACCGCGGACCTCTGATGTTTATACAGTGTTCTCTGATTGTGCCTATGGCACCTCTGCTCTTCACTGGTTCTAGGTGGCTATCGGTTGTGGCTGGACTATAGCTGCCCCTGTCCCTCGTGGGGCATTTAAAATCATGCGCTTCAGCCTCAATCGTCTATATATGTATTGCACGGGCTACAGGTTAAGAGTTAAGCACGCGGGGCAAGATTCTGGTCCTTGCTACTTGTGGGCTGCCATAGTCACAGGTGCCTGGCAAATCAGATTTAGTCCTGGAGCACTGCAGTATGTCCTGGAGAGTTACTGAGGTGGCCAACCCAGCAATATTTGCTAATAAAATAAATCAGATTGCCTCATTTGATATACTGTCTGTATATTAAACATTCCAATTGTATTAATGGCTACAGTGCTTCTGTCTTTGCTTTTGAAATAATATAATTACAAACCTGGTGTAAGTCTGAGTAGCTTCTCTTCTCCGTAAATCAAATAACTTCATAAATCCATCGTGAGATCCTGATATTAGTAAGTGTGGTTCACATGGGTGAAAACTGACCTGTGGAAAAATATAGCTTCGGGTTACAGTACGATGAAATGCACCATTCTGGACAGAATCACTTGGTTGCTCCCTTAGGTAAATGTCAGCTGTGTCATAGATTGGAGGAAAGTCTTTCAAATGTCCTTACAGGTTAACAAAAGGTGCTATGAAGGCATGGGAACAATTCAAGTCCAGCCCAAAATGTTCATGAGAGGTACACTGAAAGACCAACAGAACCTGTAGGGGTACTACAGACATTTTATAGTACCCTACAGAACCGTCAGTTGGAATCTAACATGTGTTTACATTGGTTGACGACCAGGAGTGGAAGCCTTCACAGGCATAGGGCTCCAGGAGAGGAAGCCCTCACTGGAGTGGACTCCTAGAGTAATCTCGAGGACCATCACTTGATGGCAGAATATGCACAAAACTAGCTATCAATCACCAGGTGGCAGTACTATGTACACCTCATGATTCCCAGACCCAGACTAACTCGCATCCTTCTTGATACAAACACTAAATTTATACACAGGAAAGATCATTACATACCATGAGAAGCTGGAAAAAACAAATGATTCTACAGAGAAGGGTGCTTTCAGACTGTTGCTCTCTTAAGGAGACACCTACAATACTGTAAATGAAAAAGAAAATAAGAAAAATAAAGTATGTGAAGAACTCACCTATGATGTACACCCAAAAGAAGCTGAATAGTACTAAAAAAAATTCCTCTCAGAAGTGACAGACTGGTTGAAGAAGGCCCAAGCACTGCTAACACTCAGGAAGCAAATGAACTTTCAGACAAGCAACCCAATGCTATACATTTGTGGAGCAGGTGGAAAAATTTTAATAACTGGGTTCTTAAAATACAATATGCAAAAAGTCTGCCAACAAAAATGAAACCAAGGATAAGGTGGATACAAGAGGCCAGCAGCCCACAGAGGTCCCAAGCTTCAGCAGGATTGGTAATAGCATGCAAACGAGATGCAAAATATCCACTGCAAATCTATAGCAATCATGGAAAATGAGCCACATAGGCAAAACGCTGGAGGTACCACATAAATATGAATAGTGCCGCATGGGAAATGCCAAAGACTCATAGTCAGAAAGGAGAACCTTCTACTCTCCAGTCTATTAAAAGCATGAAAAGGGAGGTTGCTAACACATTTCATTCTTCATGGATGTGGACTGCAGAGATGACTAACCTTGAGAAGCTAAATGAGAGGCTACAGCTAGTCAAATGATACAGTGCAAGGGAACTTGTTGAGCATTCCTCTGCCAAGGCCAAAAACAACCGAAACAAGGCCTACGAACAGGCCGACTGCTGACCCCCTTGGGGAGGCCAAGTGCACCACCACCAAAATTAATGCCACTAACTCTCACATTAAAATGTATAACCACCAGAGTCAGAGGCCACCAATCCTGATCCTGACATGCATGATGTCAGGAGACATCAGTGAATAAATTGAGAGATGAAGGAAATCAGCTACCAGTTGACTTAATGTGGCTTCATTGGAAGGGGCATGAGAGTCACTTTCCCACCAAAGTGCAGTTTCATCTAGCATCCCAATAAATATCACTGTTTGTACCATGTACCATGAGGCCTGGGGTAAGGAGTTTGGGGTTCTGTGGCTTAGGCCTATTGCCTCCACCGACCCCCACTACCACTCTACACGTTTCTTTCCTCTGTGCCCCTCAGGTCCTTACCCCCTGGTAGCACTCCACTTCTCAATTGCTTCCATCTTAATAAAATGACATAGGTCATCATGGTTACCACCACTAAACTCCTTAGAACATAGGAAATCTTCAGACACCTGACACAATCCATTTCAGGTGAAGAATAAAGGAGTTGCACCATTTTAGTAGATTGCAAGCGACATCTCACAACATGAGCTTGTGCTGAGAGAGCACTCTCTCACAAGCAGGACAACGAACCCAGCATCATGAGCATTGACAGCCCAGTTCAGAAAGTTGAGCCATTTCCAGTTTAGATGCATGGTCCTTCAGCTACAAATAGTGAAATTAAATGTCTTTTCAAGCTTCTGATTCAGGAAGGTGGAAAAACCTCAGAGGAGGAGTAGTAGAAAATTCAAGCCAACCATAGGGACCTGGAAATGAACCATGAAAAAAGCGTGGGAAGTGGGTGAAAAAACCAGCGTTCAATGTAATAAAACGCCATTTTCTGGGTGAGTCCTGGCGGCTTCCCTGAGCTATCCAGGCTGATATAGATATGTATAACTTTCTGGCATCAGTCAATTTGCATGGAGTTCTTGCCTGCCAGGGACCATGGCCAGAACCTGCCCCCCCCCCCCTCAGAGAGGCACTAGGAGTAATGGCCTATAGAGACCCCTGTGTGGTTGGAAGCATTTTATGTTTGCCATCGACCGGGTCTGGCACCCAAAGAGATAGGCGTCTCAAAACAAACCCCTATTCTGGTGAAAAATTGCTACCAAAAGCTAAACAAGTGGACAGAACTCTCCAACGAAAATTTGCAAACGAGCATGACATCATCATGTTGCCGCACCGCTGTCTGCGCAACCACCCCCGTTCCCCTCCCCGGGAGAAGGAAAAGAGAGCCCCAAACCCTCGCATCGGCGATCCATCCATCAGTTCTTAGCCTGGATGTCAAAACCCACGAAAAAAACACCGCCGACCAGAGGTAGGGAGGGATGCCGGGGAGCCTCCAGGACTCACCTGGAGGCTCCCCGGAGAAAATGGAGTTTCATTACATTCAACGCTGGTTTTCTGGAGGGAACCCCGTCGGCTCCCTGGAGCTACCTCACCAAAGATAAGGTAAAAGAGGAAAGGACCCGGGAGGCGGACGCCACGCGCCCTAACAAAAAACAAAACAACAAGCAAAACCGAAGGACCCTGCGGACGACCCGGGAGACCCAAATCTTGTAACAGGAAAGAAGGAAGGGAAGGCAAGGCAAGGGAAGGCAAGGAGAGGCAAGGCAAGGCAAGGCAAGGGATTAGGGAGGGAGGGAGGGATTAGGGAGGGAGGGAGGGAGGGAGGGAGGGAGGGAGGGAGGGAAGGAAGGAAGGAAGGAAGGAAGGAAGGAAGGAAGGAAGGAAGGAAGGAAGGAAGGAAGGAAGGAAGGAAGGAAGGAAGGAAGGAAGGAAGGAAGGAAGGAAGGAAGGAAGGAAGGAAGGAAGGAAGGAAGGAAGGAAGGAAGGAAGGAAGGAAGGAAGGAAGGAAGGAAGGAAGGAAGGAAGGAAGGAAGGAAGGAAGGAAGGAAGGAAGGAAGGAAGGAAGGAAGGAAGGAAGGAAGGAAGGAAGGAAGGAAGGAAGAATGGAAGGAAGGAAGGAAGGAAGGAAGGAAGGAAGGAAGGAAGGAAAACCTGGGCAACCCAAAGTGCATCCACGGTAAGAGTGGCAAAGATGCGGAGACAATGGTGGAGAGCCGCAACCAAACAACCCACATGATGCACCCCCGGCCTGACCAACCAAGCATCAACAACCCAAGGACCACTCCGGAAAGCAGCATACTCGATCTTCGCCAGAAAAGAAGGAGACAGCTGCAACCAAACAAACCTACTACCAGGCCCAAATCAGCAGATTTGGAGGAATGCATGAAGTTCCCCAACCTGATCCCCCCCCCCACCCCCCTTAGGCCAATGCCAACAGGAAAAGAACCTTAGGAAAACAATCCAGAACCGAAGGGGCCACAACAAAACGAGAAGAGAGGAAAGAGGGCACCCGGTCCAAAGGCCAGGACAGCTCAGGTGGCACATGAGCAGGCCTGAGGTGAAACAATGCACGAGACAGCTTATGGAATGGAGCAGACGTAACATCAATACCGAATGCAAACTGGACCACCAGCACCGCACAATACGAGGCAACAGTATTCGGCATAAGATGATGGTCCTGAAACAACCACGAAAGGAAATACAAAACAACCCTATCAGAGACCATAGTACACCTACACGGTGATAGGAAAAACCAGAAGGACTGCCAGGAAACTACATACTGCCGCTGAGATGAAGCACACAGGTGGGAGACCAACATCGAAGCCCCCTGCGCCCCATACAAGTGGTGATAGACTCGAGTCAGAAACTCCATACGCGAAGACTTGAGGAAAAGAACGAACCACTCTCATAATGGGCAGGACTGATCTGCTGAAAGGGGTGGAGCCGCGGGAAGACCCTCGGGTTCGGACACCGAGCAAGCAGCGCCTGAAACCAAGGCTGGGCGGCCACCAAGGAACCAGAAGGACAACTCTCCCATGGTACGTCTCCTAGCAAGCCAGAACCTGAAGCAACAACTGAACCGTGGGGAAGAGGTACAGGTAACCCCACCTCCCACAGTCCTGCCTGAAGGCATCGACCCCGGTGGCCTCGCAGGCGGGGAAGGGCACCATGTATATCGCGAGATGCCTCGACCATGCCGACGCGAAGAGGTCCACCTACGGAGGCTTGAAAGTTCGGCAGAACCAACTGAACGACTTAGCGTCAACCATCCACTCCGTGGAAGGGTAATGAAGCGGGACAGTCACCCAAAGCGACCACCCCCAAAGAGCCAAGGACCGCAATGAACCACCAGGGAACAGTCCGAATGGAGCCAGATCGTCGATCCGTGAGCAACCCGAATCCTCTGAAGTGACATCTACACAGCCACGAACTTCCACACCGTGCTGTGAGCCCGACAGAAGGACGGACCCCACCGCCCCCGGCCGGCTTGCTGAGCACTGGTCACAAAGTCCCAGCCAAGAGACGACGCGACCATGAACACATCGAGTGAGGGGCTCGGGTAGGCGCCAAGGCACTGAACCCCAAAAACCTGAAGAGGAAGCCGGCGATGCAGCAACCGACCCAAAGCCCCTGGAGGCCGAACCCAGCGGTCGCGAGAGAGGTAGAAGGAACGCCCCCTAAGGAACCATAATACCCGACAAAGTCACAACCGACCCGGTGGGTAGATCATCATGGCAAAGATCAGGCTCCTGCACAAACCCTCGAGCATCTGCCGTATGACCCGAGAGCCCCTCAGAAAACAGACGAAGACGGGAATGCAGCCGCAGCAG